GGACTATATCGTCTGCATATTCTAAGTCAACGAGATTATTCCCTCCCTGGTAGCAAGTCAATCCCTGTGTCTCTGAGGTGAGTTAGGGTTAAGTCCATTAGTGCATCTATGATGCAATTGGATAGAAATGGGGACAGTGAGCATCTTTGACGGACACCACTAGTTTTCATCACTTCAAATGACGACTCACCGTAAGCCCTCACCTGACTGCATGAGTCTGATTAGAGTGCTGCGATCAGTGCAATGTATTTTCTCGGCATTCCCTTTACAGCTAAGCATCTTCAGAGCACCTCTCGGTCGACAGAATCTGTTTAACTTCATCATAGATATGCTGATGGAAGTATCCTTAACTGAACGTAATGACTTAGGAATCGACTTGTTACCAGGGAATAGTCTTATGGACTTAGAATATGTAGATGACATGGTTCTGTTAGGGGAGGATGCTGACAAAATCCAGCAGAGTCTTCTGAACACCTTGAGCAGCAATCTCCGTATGTTTGGCATGTGACTCGCCCCTACAAAATGTAAGATGCTGCTGCAGGACTGGACCACATCAACCCCTAACTTAGCGATAGGGAGTGAAGTGACAGAACATGTTGACCACTTCACCTATTTGGGAAGTTGTATTAGCACCAACGGACTGATTGGCGATGAAATCTCAGCACGGATCCGAAAAGCTCGAGCTGCTTTCGCTGACTTACACCATCTCTGGCGTAGGTGTGACATCCGTTTATCAACCAAGGGACGTGTGTACTGCTCATCAGTTCGCTCCGTCCTTCTCTATGGCTCTGAAACATGGCCAATACGCGTTGAAGACATGAAAAGGTTGACTGCTTTCGATCACAGATGTCTGCGATCTCTGTCTCACGTTAGGTGGTTTAATAAGGTAAGTAATGTTGACGTTAGGCGTAGAGTGTTGGGCAAAGAGGGAAAATCAATCGACGAGGCTATAAAGTTACATAGATTGAGATGGCTAGGTCACGTGCTGCGCATGCCTAACCATCGCCTCCCCCGACGGGCATTGCTACCTGATATAGGTTCAGGTTGGAAAAGAGTAAGTGGTGGCCAAACAAAAACATGGCCTCATCAATCCATGAAATCCTTGACAGTTAAACTGAGTCAGGTAGGGAGATGCAGACTCCCGGGTTGGGGGCCTCGGGACTCTAGGAATCAATGTCTGGAGACAATAGGTGACATGGCTCAAAATCGTTGTCAATGGCCAGCGCAGATGTATTCAGTCTCTGTAATCTTTCATATTCCTTTTTTCTACCATTACCCATTCTGTTTCACTCTTATACTTGTCAGACTGTATTGATTCTCTTCACTCATCTTCTTATCTACTTTTGTGTGCTATTTGGAACTTGGCAACTCGAACTGCTGCACTTCGGTGCCAAGTTCTATGTTGAATCCAGACAGACAGAATCGAATTCCGCCTTCATGTCAAGAAATATAATGATTGTTGGACGCCGGTAGGAATGCCTATGTTCTAGAATTTGTCGAAGGGTGAATATATGGTTGATACACCTTCGTCCTGGGCTGTCAGAATTTTCATCCATAAAAATGCTTAAAGTCTTCTGAATTTCTTATAGTTCACTTGTGAAATTATAACGGATGATCATTAAATGGACTCGTGTACATATTTAACTAGGTTTCAACATAACGCGGTGCAATTCTTAAAGGAAATGAAGAAAAAAAATGTACAGAATGGGTTCTGTTTTCATATGCAACAACACTACGCTACAGGATATATTTCAGATTACTACTTTACAAGTTAATCCTATATTAAGAGGAAGTATTTTGGAAGTAAATACGCTCAAAGCTTCTGCACGGTATTCACATAATGTCTTAAATAAGGCTTGATTATTATTATATATTATTCTCCAGGAAACCACAACCAAGCAGTGTACACTTCCCTGTATGGCTCAAAACAACTGTCAAAGACTTCACACACTGATGTTATACTTTGGTTTGACTACCTCTAACTCTATTCCAACTAAATCCTCTTTCAGCTAACACTGCTTGACATGTGTAACACATCTTCTGATCATATTAATCGACATAGTTTTACAACCTCGTTGACAAGTTCCTCTTTCTTGCTTAGCACTCTACGCCTAACCTATGGGAAAACAAAAAATATTTAAATGAATGAAATTCGTCCTTAGTTTTACCCTCATATTCTCCTGGAAACATACAGGATGAAGAATATGACCACAGTTTACCAGCTGAAGTCGTCAAAGTGAAATGCAATCAATCTGATTGAAAATTCAAGTTAAATCATCCATATTCGAGTTTGTTCATTACCGCGAAAGGAGTCTAATCTAATGAGACAACATAAAATTATGAAAGCAAAATACTCCTATCCAATTGTCAGGTAGCCAACGGTTTCTGAGCTTAAAGACTACCCATCCGTTTACATTAAAATAACTCAAGCTTGATAAATTAAGAATGGAAAATAAATAAATTAATGTAAAACATAATAAGATTTATGAGCACTATAAAATGTCTTATATTTCCCAATGAATGAAAATCAAAGAAGTATTATTTTCAATGACATTTGGCTACTTACTGCTAACAGCTTCATTAAAGTTATATCATACCACAACTTACAAAATATTAACCTACACATTGTAGCTTAATCATACTTCTTCAGCGTGAGGAAATTTCTACGTCGACAAGTGGATAAATTGGTGAAGATAACCAACGCTGTGTAGACTGTTGGATTTGACGAGTGTTTGAATAGGCAAGAGCAACATGTGTTTGCATAAGGGAAATGCCTTTCACATCTGTGTTAGTTTTCTCAATTCATAGTTGGGGTAGGTAGGAGGTGCTGGACTCAGGTTAAATTCTGTTTTAATGCATCATTCCACTTCAGACAACTTGAATTCCACAGATTGTGAAGATTAAACACATCGCATGATATCAAAAGTCAACTAAATGAATGTAATATTGTAGCGGTGTGATACGGACAAGGCATTCCAACGGGATATGATTCTCACATATTCCCACAGTTCAATACTGCACTAAAAACAGTATATTTATATACATATATGGACATTTTATTTACTGTCAGAGACAAAATGCTTTTCACACAGTTCACTACTGAGTTACCAGCATAATAATATGTATATTTGAACATTCAGTGTGCGTCGGTAGCATTGCTGTTAGGACGCTCGCCGACCATGCACATGGTCCGGGGTTCGATCCTCGGCCGGCGCGCTCCTTTACCTCTCTAAGCCAGAAATAATGCTGGTAAAGAGGAGAGGTTGGGCATGAGGCTAGCAACCCCATCCTGTAAAAATAAACACAGCTACAGAAACTTCAAGTCTCAAGCTTGAAGCCCTATGTTCCACTTGGAACGTGAAGGAAAAATTATTATTATTTGAAAATTCTGTTTCAAGTCGCTTAATGTAAAATAAAATCACATGCTCAGTGATTGGTTGACGAATATAAGCTGTATATGTATAAACCAAGCGGTTTGATTAATGAAAGATATACCTTGGCTTCCGTGTCTTGCCTTCTGCTGTTACAAAAGATCAGGCACGCTAAAAGGTAATCTTGTTTATATGGAAGGCCAAATTCTGAAGCGTCTAATTGTCCTTCTAAAATAAAATGCTCAGAGTGTGATGTGATACATTCTGGATGAACCCATGAAGAATCTAAGGCAAGGAGAAATTAACACCTTGAAAGCCTATAGTTGATCACCTAGAAATACAACAGAATTACAAAAACTTGAAGAATCATCGGTCATAGTTCTACAAGCTGTAGAATGTGACAACAAGATTAATTTTGACAACAGTGAAAGCATTCAAAGAAATTTGAGAAGTCTGGGACAACATCTCATATCAAAATCACCTCATGTTGGATGGAATCCTAAGTGTCTGAAGTGGAATGATGCATTAAAACAGAATTTAACCTGAGTCCAGCACCTCCTACCTACCCCAACTATGAATTGAGAAAACTAACACAGATGTGAAAGGCATTTCCCTTATGCAAACACATGTTGCTCTTGCCTATTCAAACACTCGTCAAATCCAACAGTCTACACAGCGTTGGTTATCTTCACCAATTTATCCACTTGTCGACGTAGAAATTTCCTCACGCTGAAGAAGTATGATTAAGCTACAATGTGTAGGTTAATATTTTGTAAGTTGTGGTATGATATAACTTTAATGAAGCTGTTAGCAGTAAGTAGCCAAATGTCACTGAAAATAATACTTCTTTGATTTTCATTCATTGGGAAATATAGAAAATCTTATGATAACGAATATCATATATCCATCACCCAATTTTTTCTCAGACTATTAAATCTGAACTTGGTTCAGAAATAAATGACACTGGAGCTAAGTCCGCGACAAAGAGGGATAAAATATAAGTGATGGGAGTATGTAGAACTTTTAAGGATGTTGTAGAAAGTTAACATAACGATTGGTTTACAAATAAGGCCGTAGGAAAGCACAATATCATGCCGCGGACATACCAAATCTGCATTTTAAGTTACACATGGACTTAGTTTCCTTTTAAAATCCATTTTCCGAAAGCTCACTTATCTAGGCTTCCACTCCTCCTGAATCCCTAACACAACAGATTTGGGATACTTCCTAGTACAGAGATCCATTCATATTCCAAATAACTGCGAAACTTTTACTTCCTAAATCAGTAGTCCGATGGTTATGGTTATGTCATATAAACAGTTAAAAATAACAAACACTTATTGCAGTTTCACTTTAGAAATATAAATTCTAAATTTTGTGCTAAAATACCTAAGAGTTGTTAAATTTTTTAATTGAATCAAAAGAATTCAGTTGATACTTTTCAAACATAATAACAGATATCACCCAGATTTCGGTGTTGTCAAAATAATAGCTTTAACATTACCACTATATCCTTTAAACAGGTTCTACAAAGTGTCTAGTGTAAAACTGTCAAGGTCTTATTTATGTGAAGAGTATTTAAATTTTCTGAAAACAGCCAATTAGTTCATATTTTAAAGAAGCACTCACCTGTATTTCCAGAAGTAGGAACTATGATTGTATCTCCTGGTTTCAGCCTTCCTTCTTTTTCTTCTTCTTCAATCATACGCCTGCCTATTCTATCCTTAACGCTCCCACCAATATTGAAAAATTCGCATTTGGCTACTAGAATTTCATAAACGAGACGCTTCGTTTACTACTTTTTCACAGAGAACTTACAAAGTTCACACTCAATGCCCTCACTTCTTGCAATTCTATCAATTCGAACTAAGGGTGTATTACCTATAAGTTCTAAGGCACTCTTCACTATTTTAGCTTTTTCTGAGCTAGAATAATTTTATTTATAGTTATAACACTTCAAACGGGACATACACAGGCAAATGTCGGTGGGGACTATCAGAAATTGTCTTTTGTAGAGAAAATGTGCATCTGCTTGGCAAATCCGGCCGTTTCCAGTCGCCTAACATAATGCTGAACAAAAAAATAATAAGAAAAGGTAGTAGACATCCTGCATTGAAAGTAAAAACTAATCAAGATTAAAGATAGTTAACTTGGATTGCACTAACTAAGATTTAAATTTTCAGGCAACTGTCAAGGAAATAATACGATTAAATAGCTTTCCAATGCTTGTGTGATAGTTTCTAGACAAATGTCTGGGCAATAATAGTACAATTTAAACAAAATATTACATATAAAACAATCTTACTAAAACTTTCACTAACACTCAAGCGGAATTTCTGCACAGAATTAAAATATGATACCAAACCACCTTTCATTTTGGAAACTAACTAAACAACTGATAGTACATATGAAACTCTTCTACGAATGAACATGATAAGTTTAGACCGTATGACACTCATCTAACACTATTTAAGTTTATGTAATTCTTACATTTAATGTTTGTGGACCACGAAAACTAAGACAGACCATTCAAGGCATAGTGAGTTGTCTAATCGTTTTCACTAATATTGCACTTATTACCCTGCTATTTGCTCGCAGCTCCAATCACTTGTGATTGCAGTTAGTACCTTAAAAAAACAGAATATAGAAAATTTTCCAAAGTCACTATACTTCCATTTTTCACTGTTATCTCTTGATGCAAAATGCTACTTCTGGAAGAAAAGTGAGCCTTTTTGACATTTAAATGAAAACTAAGCATAACAGTGCCACTAAATGTTTAAAAAAGACAGCCTTCTGTGATTCAAAGATATTTTTAAAATGTTGGCTAGTCACGACAGAGTGCACTATTTCCATGAAAGGTTAACAATAAAAGAAGGTGAAACAATTCCTAAGCGAGAAAACATATCACACACGTTCCAATTTAGTGGTACGATATTACATGAAGACGAAATCTAACTATACTAGCCACTTCCGCACATGACCATCAACATAAATAATTAGATGTTATTTACAGTAAACCAAATCAAATTAAATCCCCTGTTTCTGATTCGCCCAACGAGGTCAAGGGAGACTGAGTGTCAGTGGAAAAATCGTCCAGGGTGGCTGTCATAGTTTATCTCGGCCAAAAATACTTCTTGCGTCACTGAAGACATTAAAGTAAGAAGACTTTTCTAAGAAATGAGGAAATTATGAGATACATCATTTTCACACAGCAGTTTCAAAAAGGTGGGATGTAGGCTAAACTTTTCCTACGAGCATTATCCGACTTAGAAACCTGTGCCTGCTTGTAACCGCTGCAGGAAAACTTAATTTCACATGCAGAAAACACAGTTTTACTCTCACATACCGTAAAAATCTGGTGATAAATCACTTAATTTCCTATTTTGATCTGCAAACCCAATCAAATTCAGGGAACAATAAGGTATACAAATACCCACCATAAATAACCTTCAAAGAGTAAGCTTCCGTGCAAGCAACTAAACAACTTTTAATCACGAATGTAATTTGGCACCAAATGAGATGTTTCTAAGTTTTCCATTAATTACCACTACAAATAGAAGACAGTAAGGCGGCTATGAAAGTAAATATTTTTCTTAACCAATGATATGCGGTCACATTGACTTATGGACTTAGCATCTTCGATGTTTAGATTGACTTATTCAAATTAAAATGCTCAGAAATTTCTTTCAATTAGTTAGAAGTGTCATCTGAAGTTATTCATCCAGCTTTCATACCTTAAAGAACATCTTGGTTTAGACACCAATCCTAAGTGATATTATCTTCATTGGTAATGTAAGGTGGCCGTTGTTTTCGGTAAGTATTATTAGTTAAACTTGAACGTCATTCAAATAGCTAGAAGGAGAAAACGTACGAACATGTAGGCCAGTTTCACAAGCAATCTTTTGGTTAACGCTTGAACAAGGTTATCAGTTAATAACAATTAAAACCAGATTAGAATTGTGCTAAATAATCAGAAGAAATACATGTAGCGGTAGATAATTCCCCCAGAATCATCAACCACATGATTCAGCACTCAACATGGGATGCTGACCCTCACTGTCTAAGTCGATTTGTCTAGCTGAAGGCTCATAGTCAAGCGTTCACGCCGTTCGGCACGCCATCGCGCTAAGTTTATTCGTTCGTGCTCAAACCACAGCTAGTTAAGTACTGATTCTCACATTAGAATTTTGGTTCGAAATATACCTTGTTTTCTGAACGGTCAATTCGGTGTTCTGCTCTGTGTTTGGTGCACAAGAAACGAACACATTAAGAGTTTTGGGTAAGATATCGTGTAAGTATGCACCGTCTTATTCGAGTACGTAAACGGTCTCAGGTTCTAAATACTGTTGCTAACTTAGTGGGGGTAAGATACTATGAAGAATCGCTCCCTGTTGAATTAATTTAAGGTGGGCTGTAACTTGTTAAGAAGGAGATTTTATCTTCATCTCACTAGTGAACGAGACGCGGTGCGTCACATTTTAGCTGGACTGGCCACATATAGTCTTTGTTTTAAACTTCGCACAAGCTTTTGTCTAGTTTCATAACTTCAACCATATTATCATATGTTATTGTCATATTTAGTAGAAGAAAAAAGGTACGAACTCAGCCATCGGTAATTCTGTGGGCTCATTACACACCTATGTTTCCCACACCAAGCAACATTTTACCCAGAACAATGGTAGTTATCCACTTGGCTTACCAGTACAGCAAAGGTACGAAGCTGCAGTCTAACGTTGCTGGAACTCAGAACAAATCAATACAGGCAGTTTGCAGTACAATCGCCCCTAAAATTTCAGTGGTCGACGTTTATGTAGACCTCATATGTGTGTCATTAGACTTCAGTCAACAAGCCTAATTTCAACACCAACTCAAGGAGTGTAACGAATAAATTCTTCCCCAGAGGAGCTGAAGACTCAGAACCACGAAATAAAATTTAGTAATCTTACGATTGCTGTATATTCATAAAATGTGGCCAGTATATCCGGATTATAGACACAGACTAATGACATCAAATCACAGGTCTGTGGACTAACGCCTCTAAACAGCCGGATTGGGAAAACACACTTTAGGGGACTCGGCGTGGATTTGGTAAATAAGTTGGACAGCTTAATAAATTTTATCATAATAGAACTAGCTTAACAGCTAGATGCAAAACTGAGTGCAACAATTCAAAGCATATCTGATACTTGGAAGCTAAAAGCAATGCAGCGTGTCCTGCTTAGGGCTGTCAAGATGCCGAACTCGCAAACTAAATGATGTAAACTTAGAAAGAGTTAGCAAGACTACTGCTGCCTTATGTGCCATCAGTGTCAATTACAACCAAGGGCTAAAACATACATAAACTCGAAAAGCATTCTACCACAAGGTACGAACTAAAAATTATGGAAGTTGTGGTTGATAAAACTGACTGAATGGCGTACCTTCATTTATCTGATTAGGCCTAATGAATAAATGAGCAGGACACCACAACGCACCAACAAAGAAGACCCCTAGATTAAGACAAAAGAACACAAGGCCCCACTCCCCTCACATTACAACAAACTAAATTTTCGAAACACAACACCAACTGAGAGGTTATTAAGTGATATTTATACATCTAATATATGCCTACTACCTAATACTATGGGTTCAAACGTATGTATATGCAGCCCTAAGGCAAAAGCTGACGCCCACTGAAACTCCACATTATTCTCTCCTAGAACCAACGAATAATCAGGCAACAACTTAGTAACAGATCATGTCGAATCATATCACTCATATAAAAAATCCATCACATTCATAAAATCTACCTAAGATTAAGGTATAGGGGTTAAGACGCAAAGCTATGCTAACAGCGCATATAATATCAAAAATAGTGATAATGTCGATGTCGCTTAAAAAGCCCAATCCCACTAAAGCTGCATTGTTATTTTACGTCTCATTGACACCACCTCAAATGGTACAAGGGACACTACTGAGAGTTCAGATACCAGCGCTTCAAAATATAGTGCACGAGCAAAACTTGTGGGAACTGATAAACAATGCAGCAACGAACACAAAAAGTCGTATCACGAAACAGACGGCATCTTTAAGCAATAAGAGGAATGGAAAGCTCTGAGCATCATTCAGTGCCTATAAAATTTTATCCACCACATCCAAGTCAACGTCAATAAAGCAGCTAGCGGAGGTGTTAAGCCTTTTCAACCCGAACCACTAACGTTCGACCTTCTTTCAGAAAGAAAACAGGCACCGTTTAATATGCACACACTCACTAAGCACATCCAATACTTACACAAGTATGAGCCGGAAAAGCCCCACCTAAGACAACAACACAACTAAGGACGAAACTATAGCAAATCCAGAAATAAAAATTCTCACTATTCACCAGAAGCAGCAGACAATGACTCGGGAGACATAGGTGAACTTGACACTTCCTTTGATACATGGTCTTCATAGACGTAGAACCGCTGGATGCTGAACCACACCCCAGCCTGTCCAACGGGCTCAAATGCTCCAAATACTAGCTCAAATATAAACTTTACCTGATTCTTATGATTGATAGATCTGCCCTTAACAACCTACCAATGCCCAGACCACTCACGGCCGTATATAAAACCCATAATTATTACCGATGAGTCTTAGCTTCACTCTAATATTCCAGGTGATGACATAAGAATAAGATACGAAGTGAGCATTGATAAGGGAGGAGGATGTAGTTGCTGTATGCACTGTTACAACTAGAAAATAGAGGGCTCAACGACATGCACAAAATTATATGGGCGAAAAACGCTGAAAATGTTACAGTGCTAAATGGATGCATTAACAGGGCAAGTATTACCTCTATTGATCATGAGGTCCACCTTATTGATGAATTGGAGCAAGTGCCTACTCGTCATACCAGCTTAAGATGCTGTGTGGGGACAGCCTAGCCGAAGTCAGCCAAAATTTTGTCACTGGCTGGGCCATATCTGATAAGCTCTTAAGTACACTGGACATCATTTCATGGATCAAACTGTTACTGTCTCTACAACAAACGACAACGTCCTGGACTCGATATTCTGTAACAGTATAATTACCCCCCTTCGATTTGTTCTAAGTATTCATGGGGCGGCCACAAAGCTAACACGCTGTGGTCCCACCTAAAATACTAAAGGTTCTGCGGTATTCAATGCGAATAATGAACCCAAACAGAAAACCTTTGAAAAAAACTAAATAAAATACTACAGATATCATGACTTATCGTCATTAATTGCCATAACGTCCCTTCTCAGTAGAATTGAAGAGTTGAGAAATATAGGCCTCAGAAACAAAGAAATGCAGGCCATTCATGCACCGCATAACTCAGGAGAAATAGCCAAACTTTTTAAAAGTAGGTTGACGAACTCCAAAACACCCTATCCGAAAATAATATACTTAGACGGCATTGCTTACGAAAATAATGAGACGATATGTGAACTGTTTAGCAAGAACTTCGCCAGATTACGCACCTTAGACAACGATGAGGTCGTGGATTTCCCACGTAAAACAGACGAATGTTTAAGTGGCATAATTTTCACCACACATGAGATCGATAAAGCTGTCGCAAATCATAAGCTTAGTAACACTACTGGTCCAGACGGCATATCTTCCGTTCTGCTGAAAAAAGGTGGTAATGACATGAGTTTACTCTTACTCAAGTTATACTCAATTTCATTAAGCGATAGGACATGCCCTAACTCCTGGAAGAAGTGTTATATTGTACCTATCCACAAATACGGGCCTATAGCTGATATCAACAACTACCGCCCCATCAACATCACGTCTGTAGTTTCACGTGTAATGGAAAAGATAGTTAAGACTCAAATCATTCAGTACTTGCTGTCAAATGACCTACTATCCCCATCCCAATACGGTTTCTTAAGTAGAAGGTCGTGCATTACTTGCCACTTAGATTATTTTGACTACATTACACAAAGCATTGATAATGGGCGTTCGGTAACAACATTGTTTCTCGACGTTAGCAAGGCCTTCGATAAAATCCCACATATCAGACTCCTAACAAAACTGCAATCCTACGGAATAACCGGAAAACTTCTCAAATGGATAAGTTCTTTTCTCACAGAAAGACAGCAATTAGTCAAAATCAACCACCAGTTGTCTTCCTCAAAGCCGATAACCAGTGGTGTAATACAAGGTAGTGTTCTTGGCCCTATTCTGTTCCTCTTATTTATAAATGACATAGTCTCTGTAATTAAGTATGGCAAGCCATACCTTTTTGCAGATGATCTCAAGATAGTATATGATTATGGCTACGGTGATATGAGCGTCGAAAGCAAGATCCAACAAGACTTAAATGATCTAGGCGATTGGAGCGAAAAGTGGCAACTGACTTTCAACCCAGACAAATGCGGTATAACCCACCTTGGACGCTGGAAACCGATAATGTGCCTATATATGTACGGTAAGCTCCTCTCAAAACTGA